TAGGGTAGTCAGGGGTGAATCTTAAAAATAAACTGTTTCCAATCACCTGGTAAAAATGTGATTTAATATTACATATATATAATAGTAGTATTAAGATGTTTACAAATTTATAATAATATTGCACTAGATTAGTCCTAGAGTGTAAACAATTAATCCGTAAAACACTAATTACTAAATAGTACAAAATAGTGCTAATTAAACAATAGAAAACAATTGAATTTGCATGAAATTGTGCTATTTAGTATTACTAAAGTTTCAGTTATATTGTTTGCACTCTACACATACAAAGAAATGATAATTGATAATGTATGTTATATAATAGATCAAGATTGCTAATTATTATTTTTTGTAATTGTATATTTTGATAAGTTTTATTTGATTGAACTTGCTTAATACTGAACTTTTTAAATGCTGTTTATAGGATATTATGTGCTGATTGGAAATTTATGGCAATGTTATTGGGAATTAACAGTCCCTGTTCCAACTATTTTTGCATTTGGTGTGAGTGCTTCAAAGCACTTCTCAAAGATATGTCCAGTAAGTATMATCAATAACAATAWGATAKTGATGATGATCRATCATAATAATAACACCATTGACTYAAAAAGGCCCTATGGTAAGAGGTTCCAAAACAGGGTCCATGTCATCAAATCTTATCATTTTTGCCCACAAGTTTATTGTCTTTGTCAAATATAATTCGGCAATATCCTGATCTCACCTAAAATGTGTTCCTGACATCCTGCCACAAGTTCACTTTAGAGTAAAAGAATATAAAGCTAATATTTTACTGTACATGTATATAGCTGCTGATTATGTTTTTATATTTGACATCTTTAAAAAAAACATTGATTCCAGTTGAAGACTGGCCTATCAAAAGGTCCATAGAAAGATGTTCCGAACTAGCTAACTCTGATGGTGAGAAATTCGATGTTAAACATGAACCTCTGGTGCCGATTGAATTCACAGATGTAGTCCCCGACACCCTCCACCTTATGCTAAGAATAAGAGGAAAACTTCTTAACCAAGTAAGTCAAATGTGAAAGCTGAATTATGTAAAATGAAAACAATAACTCAGTAATAAYTTAAAATTTTCATAGGTCGCATGTTGGGCAATCGAACAAAAAAAGAAAGATCAGATGGAGACAGCTATGCGTGAAATTGGTAAATTTGCTAGTAACTCTCAATAATTATCTTATTTGTGTTTATTTATTCTTGAATGATTGTTAAGTCAACATTTCGTTTGGGGACAGAGGTTTATTTCACTTGTAGTCGCGGAATGTTGCATGACGACCCTAAGAATGGCTGCAAAGGAGGCTGGCTAAACAAAATGTTGTATTGTCTTGGTAATTAGGGCATTCATGGGAATTATGTAAACTGCTCAAACAGGTCAGCTGACCCAATCTCCTTAAATACTTATGATGAAACAAGTTTCAAGCTTAAATTTCACATGTCATTTAMTAATAATTATGACAATGTGCTTATTTATTACATAGGTTTTGAAATTGCTTAAGGGGTATAATTTAATTACTTAGGYAACATATAAGAAAAATATTTGTTGTTGTTGTGATTGTTATTTCTTTTTGTTTATATTAATTGTTTTGCTTTYGTACATGTTGTTGTCAGTATAACTATTTCTAGATAAGTGCACACTCACGGTTGTCATTATGTGGGAACCTATTTTAAATCAATAACTAAAAATCTTTCTTTGCTCAATGCAGGAGTGAAACTTGAGTTCTATGATGTACAAGATGAGGGTGGAAAGACCACAACAAAATGGACATCATTTGACTATATGTGATATTGTGGTTCTATGCCAATTCCATGCCAATTAATAAAACTAAAATATTTGGTTCTGATCAATTGTATATACGAGTACACACCTGTAATATTATCTTTTTAATCACTAAAAATATAGGTGATGACCCTGAGAATGTGATCAAAAACCTGGCCATAAGTGATTTTCTTTCTAACATGGCAGACAAA